GCAGCTCAAGAACGGGAAAGTGAAAAAAATATGGGCAACATTCAGGAGGTTTCTATGAGTAACTGCTGAGGAGAAATGATCCAGAAATAAAGAAAACTACGTCAGATCAGAAAAAGTGGATAAATGAACAATTTGAGACGAGGTAGAGAGAAGTTTGAAAGATTAGAGCACCGTCTGCCAACCTATGAATTCCCCAGCATCGACGAACAAAGGACCAAGCCGAAAGCAAAGGACAAGTAACAATGATGCAGAAGATTTGGCATGCAAAGCATCTGCTAAGTCAGGTTGCTGCGTGCACAAAATGAGGAGCATCTACCGAAGCACAGAAAAAAGGTAAGAAAACACTTTTTTTAGTTTTTTCTTGCTAAGATTACCTTTTTTCTGATGTGCATCTTAAAAAGCATGATTTATCATTCAAGGCTGATTCGTCTCTAGGTAGAATTTACGTCAATTTTTGTATTTGAAAGCCGAGGGAGTCTATAACTTTGAAAATTTCATCCGCCGAAAATACAAAAAATCCTTGACTGTTTTTCTTTCTAAAAGAAGTATCTAATTAAACAAGTCCCTTTTAAATATTAATCAATAGTATATTTGAAAATATAGAGCTTATGCTTTCGAAAGAATTCATGAATAATTTAGAATGCTTCTAAAGGAGACAGGAGTGCTTTTTGTAGCCACTAGCGAGAAAGTATACTTTTGACATTCATTTAACTATGTTTATAACGGATCATGGTTACGTACTTCATAGCTTCATGTAACGGTCATTCTCTGTCAATTAATTAACATTGAAGTGCTCCCCTCTATTGTTATGAATTTTAATTTTTCACTTCTGAAGCCAACCGTTGAGATAGAACACTTTAACACAGATTACCAGAGTATATCGCAGCTGTGTTGATTTGTTCCTATACATGCTTAATTAAAATTATATTTTTCCAATAATGCTTCCAATAAAACTTAACTATTTTCAGTGAATGTGATAAAGTGTTTGTTTGCATCTTTTTTAATGTGACTTTTTCCATGTTTTTGGCTAAAAGCAATAAATAATTTTGGGTTATGTTTGGCGTTAGACCAAAACCATGCACCAACTTGTTCAGGCTGCTGCATAATGAAACAGACTCTTGATTGATCAGCAGAGACGGATGAATAGCGTTTCCATCCTTTAATTACATCTTAAATACTCTGCCCTTTCCTTAAATATTCTCTTTATTTCGAATCCAGTTAACCTTTCACATTTAATGCAAGGTGGTAACATCGTTCGAGGAGAAAACTGTCAAAAAATTCCGATTAAAATGAAATGAGCGACGTCACGTGCCCCCGAGGAGCAAAGTTGATGCGTCAGAAAGTTGCCATAAGACAAGAAGCGATTTTGAAGCATCAACGACGGTTTCAGCGAAAATTGCAACGTGGAGTCGAAGGTGGATGAAAAGAAGGAGAAGAACCGAAATCAAAAATTTTTGAAGCGTCCTCAGGATAACATCACCCAATTGTAGTTGAAATTCCAAATGGAAATGTCAAGAAGCCGTTCCAGCAGTGTCGAAAAACTCAGTGTGAGTGAGCAATCACAACAGACTGAACACGAAGAAATATTTAAATCAGAGACTAACTCGCATGAAAAAGAAGCCAACCTAATTGGGCTCTTACAGAGACCGCGACCTCCATTTCAATGTGGCGTCAGATAGCAAGACACATAGCTCATACTGAGAAAAATCGGTTGCTGAAAGGCCGATCAGCTAACATGAAGGGACGTTAACCGGAAAAGATCAAAATGGAAAACCCGGACATTCCCATATGTCAGAAAGAAATGCTAGGACGCCTTCTGGAAACATGCCATCACCAATCCGATATACCAGATTGTTACCGATTGACCGCACAAAATATATCGGAAAAAAAGACCAATTTCAATGATTCCGAAGACGAATTCAAAAAATTCTTCTAAAGATGAAGAAAATATCGAAAACTGAAAGAGCATGGAGAAATCTTGTCAAAAATTATGAACGCCATCAAACTATGAAATAGGTGTCTACGCTGCTTTCATGCATTAAGTCATGACTGAAACGGAGTTACTGCTAAAATTATTAAAGAAAGTACATCTCTTTCTTTGTTTTATGAAACCCCCGTGGTAGATCTCAAACTACTCCTTTCAGAAGTTTTGACAACCTTGTAGTCACAAACCGTGTGTAAATCTTTCCATTTGTATAATATTTTTTTAACTTTGGCAGATTCGCATT